AATAGGGAATGTAACTATTGTAGCATATTCTATTCTAAACCTACATTTTTCTAATCAACTATAGATTTCAAAATAATAAAATTATGATTATGAATTTCCTAAAATCTCGACTACATCATTCTCCACTATTTGAAAAAATTCATCATCTAATTTCTGTTGCTTAAAACCACTTGGCATGATTGCGATTATCTGCATCCACCTTGTATTTCAGTTTAATTTTCTCAAACTTAAATTTCAAAAAATCTTCAAAAATTAAATCAAATTGAATACTTATGCTCTGTTTGAGTAAGTGAAAAATATTAATCAGAGAGCTAGACAATCTTAAATGTTAATCCCGAATACAAAGGAAAGCAAGCATTGCCTCTTACAGTTCAGAAACAGAGAGCTAGACAGTCTTCATTTTTCCCAAAAACCAGAAATAGAGCGAGACAGAGAGAGAGAGCGAGTACCGATTACAGTTCAGAAACAAAGTAGACTATTCAATGGAGGTTGAAATGCGAGTAATCGAGGGGTCAGAGTTCAGATCTGAATCTTCGAAATCGCTTCAATGGAGCTTCGAAATCGCAGGCGATGGAGCTTCAATCTGAATCTTCGATGAAGCTTAATCTGAAACTTCGATGGAGCTTCGATCTGAATCGATCTGAATCTTCGATAGAACTTAGAGAGGGCTGAGAGAAAGAGACAGAGATCTGTCCGTATGTATTAAGGGTTGAGAGAGAGAGAGAGATCTGTCCGTATGTATTAAGATTCAAAATAAGGTTTCGGAGGTGCGTGCTATTGTTCAAAAAAAAAAAAGAAAAAAAAAAGAGGCGCGTGTGGCTACCGCATTCGGAGGCATTTTTAAACGCCTCCCATTATAAAACGGTGTCGTTTTGTGTAATAGAATACGCGGCGTTTTATAAAACGCCGTTAAATACTAATAACAGTGACGTTTAAATAAACGTCGTTACAAAAACGCCACCAAATTCCCTTTTTCCTGTAGTGTTATTTATGTTAGCTATGTCTAAAAATTAAAAAAAAATTACTCAAAATATTAAAAAAATTCAGTAAAAATAAAAAAACACGAAAAATAAAAAAGTAGAATTTTCTAAAAAATGTTTTTGAAAAAACACAACCAAGCAAGCTGAATAGTGTTGTAATTGGTGAAAGGATGAGATTTATAAATTTGTGTTGTGTAATTGGAAATTTGTGATAGGTGAGGGACACTGGTAAATGATGCCCTAGAAGTATAAAATAATTTCATCTCAGAAAGGTTTGAATAGTATTATCTCCGTTCTAAAAATGATGATATCTTTGAAGAATTTAATTTTTTTTGATAATATAATTATTGTTCTTTAAAAAAATTAATTTTTTAAAAATTACTTTTTAATAGTATATTTTTTTAAAAAATATCAATGTCATAATTGTATTTTTTATGTTATTAATGAATTTAAAAGAATGACAAAATATAAAATTTATATTATTTTTGTATTTAATTTTTAAAAATAGACTAATATTTTTAAACAATAAAAAATAAAATAAAAAACTAATATTTTGAGATTGAGAGAATATAAAAAATTATTGATTGACTTAACGTGTCATGTGACTGTACATTTTACCAATAACAAATTATTATATTTTTTAATCACTTAATATAAAATTATAAATCTTACCTCTTCTACCAAAAATAATATTATTACAATATTATTGAGGCATCACATGTGTGGCCGGATCAATCAATTACTTCTCTCATAGCGTGAGGAGAAGGGAAATGATAGAGAGCTCTAAATATAGAGCTCCAATTTGAGCTCTAATGATGTGTCAAAGTAAAAAAAAAAAAAAAACAAACAAAACAAGGCACAAACATCACATCAAGGTGGGACCCACCTTCTCATTAGAGCTATTAGAGCTCCTATATTAGAGCTCTAAAGCATTTTTGGTGAGGAGAATCATCAACAATGATTCATCCCACTAAAAACATCACCACTAATAGCACTAATGCATTAAAAAAGTAAAAAAAAAAATAAAAAAAATACAACTCCAAGACCAAAACATCACATCATTAATGGCGGGACCCACTGCCACCTAATTAGTGGGAGCACTAATTAGTGCTCCCAAGCATTTTTCGGAGAATCATTGAGTGCTGCTTGGTGCTCTAAACTGTTGATGATGTGATAGATAGGCTCTTTTTGTTTTAATATAAATTCTATTTGTTTTCATTTCGACATAAGTTAAAATAATTTTTTTTGATTAAAATAGTCATAAAAAAGATAAAATAAATTTTTTAACTTAATAAGATAAAATGTTATATCTAAACTATAATTATTTTATTTTTTTTCATAAAAATAAAAAAAGCCAAAAAGTCTATCCTAAACAAGATTTTTTAACCTGAGACTAAAATAGTCAAAAAATTAAAAAGTCAATCCACATTCCAAACGAAACCTTTGTTTTATCGTAAAATATTTTTTTATGTAAAATAATTTCTTTTAAGAATATTCTTTTATTTTTATTTTTCGGTATTTGTTTAGTACTTGAAATATTTTTTATAATAAAAATCTTTATAAAGAGCTAAATATATAATAAATTTTAGAGTTATTTATATGGATATCCTCTAAACTATTAAAAAGTATCATTTGGATATCTTGAATTCACTACAGGAAATATATGATTTAACGGCGTTTTTTTAAACGCCACTATTTTTAATATTTAACGACGTTTTATAAACGTCACATTTTGTTTTTATTAAAACGGTACCGTTTAAGTAATGAAGTCGTTTGAAAAGCGCCTTCAAATGTGTTACAGTGTTTCTCTCTCTCTCTCTCTCTCTCTTCAAACCCTCAAATCTCTCACAACTTATTTGAATCTGAGAAAAACCCTAGAGTCTCAAAGAAACCGATCCCTCAAATCTCTCACTCTCTCTCTCTCTCTCTCTAAACCCTTCAGTTCCTTCAACTTGATTCAACCTTCTTCAGCTCGGTGATCCATCATTCGGTCGATCCAATCTCAGAATGATTTTGATTTCAAAGCTCCACTGCCACCGCCATCACCATTTGCATCTACATCTGCATCGTCTACTAACCATATGCACGATTTCGATTTCGATTTCAATCCGATCTCAGTTTCGTCGATTCTTCTCTCTCTCAATCTCTGTCTCGATCTCTGTCTGTCTCCCTCTCTCTCGATCCCTCAATCTCTCTGGACCTCTGTCTCTCTCGCACAATCTCATTCTTTACGTACACATGATCTGTACTTTTTTTTGGATAATTTTTTTCTCCTAAAAATCTCTCTATACAAGTATATATATGAATTCATATATGTATCTCTATGTATTGATTGAATAATCATATTTATTTTGTTTTCAGGCTCTCGAATGATCCAATCATTGATCGGCAGTGACGGAAAAAATCAATTCCTGTGAGAAAAGAAACCCTAACTTTCTCATTGGAGGTAAGTTCTAATATATTTGTTTACATGTTTGTTCTGGTTTTAATCTTGTTTAGATCTGTATTGAACAACTCTGTGTTAGCTTTTTGTTCATTGTTTGGGAATTGATAGTTTGAATGCCATGTTCATTGATAAATGTGTTCATTGAAAATACAGTTAATTTGAGGTCATTTTATTATTATTATTATTATTATTATTATTATTATTATTATTATTATTATTATTATTATTATTTTGCTTCACTCGTTAATTATCTCTCATCCCTGTTAATTTGAAATTTATACACCCTATTTTCATCTCATGTGCATACCCCTTTAAATTTGCTTCTGTTTCTATTGTTGAGTTTCAATTGCATTGATAGAATATTTGTCATTTCCACTTGCATGATATCCAATTGTTGTAAGGCTCTTCCTGGCTCACATTACTCTTTAACCTTTCTCTTTGCAAATGATTTTGCAAACTTAGTATTGCTGCTAGATTTCTTGTGCTAGTAATACATGTAAGAAGTTATAATTTTTTTCGTGCAGCTCTCTATGCCTTTTTTGGCATGCACTTACTTTATATTGCATAGAGATTAGACTCAAAAGCATCTCAGAAAAAAGAAATAGAGGAAGGATGTTTTTCTTACTCAATATAGCATATACTGATGAGAATCTAATTGAATTTGGTTTCTCTTTCTTTTCTGGAGCTATATTCTTTTGTTTGTAATGCTTCTAAATATGAGGATACATTCACCATTACGTCAATTTCTATGTATCAAAATATGTTATGGTTTATTTGGATGATAAACATTAATTGGAGAACTCAGTAGTGATTAGCAGTTTGTCTATTGGTTAATTTGGGTATTGACTTCAATTTGATTTTTTTTTTTTTTTCTATCACTTATCTATCTTTGTAACTTAGTTTCTGTTGTATGTTTGCCTGTCAAATATGTGATATCAATTGCAACAAATTCTCCATTTTTCATTACATCGTTTGGGTTTCAATTTTGACATTGATTTGATTTATTTTTCTGGTGTAGTGGGTCCCTAAATTACCTAATTTTGTGGCTATTGCTAGTGGTAATGCCTCTAATCTAAAGCCTTTGCACAAGCATTACAAGAGAAGGTTTTTGTCGATATTCTCATCTCATTAGAAGCAATATTGAAAATGTAGCTCTTTAATCTTTAAATAAATAAATGAAAGAAAAGAATGAGGGTAAGTCCGCCCCTACTACCTCTCCCAACCTTGCTGTAAGCAGAAGCTTTGTGCACTAAGCGCGACCTCTTTATCTTTTTTATTTTTATAAATATGATGTGTAAAGGGAATGTTCAAATCTTTGGGAGCATGTGATACTGTTTTTGCTAAGAACATGGTTGTGCCCCTGTTTTTTCTGAGAACTTGATGCTGCATGCATTTTGTTGGATTGAACTGCATACATCTATTGTTACATTGGGGTGTGCGCTTTTTCTTTCTTTTGCATTTTTAGTTGGGACAAGGCTGAGCTTATTTTACATTTTTTTTTTCTTTTTCTTTTCTTTTCTTTTTGTGGTTGACCTGAAGTTGTAGTTCAATTGCTTTCATTACATAACAGGGAGTGATGAAGATAGAAAGGGAGCAAGCATTGTCATTGTTCCGGAAAATTATGAAAAAAATCTACAAGTATTTATATGATGTTCTAAACAAAGATTTTGACTCAAGTTTCCCTCAAGAAAGGGAGGTAAGCAAGTATTAATTTATGATCTAATGAAATCCCAATGCTTTGATTAAAACCTCCTCTGGCATGCCTAACATAGTTTGTGAGATGTGACTTACTTTAAAGAAAATGTTTTTTACATTGTTTCCTGCTGTCTTACGGGAGCTTCATGTAATTTTTAGACACTTCTAGAAGTTTCTTTCTGCGAGGTTGGTTCATCACTATTTCACATACTCTTTCTTTGGATTTTACAATTAGGTTTCATTGATGCCTCATAGCATATCAGTGGATGATGATCTTAATGATGGTGCAAAGCAAGTAATGGTGAGTCATGTTTTGTAAAACAAACTTGGTGGTGGCATATGCTCGGACTAATCATGTAATATACACTTGACATTCAGGAAAAGATGAAAATTGAGAATGTGGGGCTGTTAGATTTGGAGTCGCTGCAACAATATTCTATTGCAGATCGGGAAGCAGGATTTGAACAAGCTCTTCGAAGTTGCACAACAATATCTCGCAGCGGCCTTGTAAGCGTGAAGTCCAACAGTAGGAAAAAGGAGAAAGTTGGTAAAAACAGCAAAACTGCTGAAAGTAAAAAGAGGAAAAGGAAAAGCAAACTATGAATTGCTTCCAATCAAGAAGTTACTGATTGAGTACTTCCATATTTAATAGATTATTACTGAATATACTATTTATACTATTATATAAAGTGTATACGTGATTTGGTATGAACACATTTTGTCTCATTTTTTTCTATTCCTATATTATTAAAATTTTGTAATTTCTTTCATTTTAACAGCACAACAATTATGGGGTGTGCATACCTAGTTAGTGTTATTTACTCGACCAAACATAAAAATGGAGTGCAAAATTGCCCCAAGGTTGCCCCAAGGAGGTTGGCAACCTCACTTTAGTTTAAATCAAGCTCGAACACCCTACATCTTCAACACCTGGCTTAATTGTTTAAGTTGCAGTCATTGTTGTCATGATTATAGGGATTGTATTATGTTGTTGTTATGTTGATCAGGAAGTAGTACTGAAATCCGATCTTCTCAGTGTCAATGTGGTTGTTTATCTCTCTTTATTGTGTTGTTCACTCTGCTCTGCATGCATAATATTTTCCTGTAGCTACAGTTACATTGATCTGGCCCACTTTATGGAAATGGTGATGGTTCTCTGAATTGATAGAATTTACAGGAGATATCTCCGCTTTCTACTTTGAATTTTATCAATCATTAGATGTCCTAACTGCTTCATTCTTCAGGAAATGTATAAAAATAATCACCGCAGAAAGATTGTGGTGGCTTGATACAGGCTGTTCTTCCCTTAAGGGGTAAAATTTTGAACATTGAAAGAAGGGATGAAGTAGCAATGTACAAGAATGAAGAGATTCAAAATCTTATTCTAGCTCTGGGACTTGGAGTAAAGGTTGACTTATTTTATGCTATTTTATTTCTTGTCAACTGTTTCACCTATTTCATTGACTGAAATTTCCTGGTTTCAGGGAGAAGATTGGTGTAACAGCAAAATTGGTGTAACAAAGGGTTTGGTTTTGGAGTTATGCAGCAAGGTTTAATTGGTTAGAAGAGGCAAGGAAAGGGTGTTTTAAATTTATTCAAAGTAAAACCTGCCCTTCTTTGTTTCATCTAGCCCTCGTCTTTTATCATTATGCTATGTATATCGTCCTTAATATTCTCTTGCACTTGTCAGAGATATGGCGAAGTAACCAAGCAAAGACTTGATCTTGCTGTTCTGGTCTTCTTTCAACATTTTAGGAAGTCTTATGTGGGAGTTCAAGCAATGCATTCTTCTAAGGTAAACCAATTTAAAGTTTGACCTTCCATTTGGAAAGTGGGAGAAGAAGCAAGCATCACAAGCTCCATAGTTGGTAAGTTTAAGAATACCCCTGTTAATCGTTACTTCTTACATTTCTTGCAGCAGATGACCTGCAACATTGCACACTCTGCCATCCTCAGACAGGGACACAATGATTCAATCACTTGGCTATCAACATTGCACACCAGCAGAATTTTTGTTTGATTTCACTCTAATGTTTTGTTTTATGTGTCTTTTATTTGCAGGAGACAAAAAAGAACAATGGGGTTCCTACTTTAGCTTGGTGATTCATCTTAGAGCGATTGCGATGTCGAAGTTCTCTCTCTCTACCGATTTCGAAGCTCCACCGCCGCTAGCATCGTCTACTAAGGTGAGCACACCACTGTCTACAATCTCAGAATCATCATTATTGTAGACTTGTAGTGATATTCATTAATAATGAAACTTGTAAATCTAAATATAGTTTATTTTATTTTTTGGGAGTGAATTCCAGTGTTTGTTGATTATAATATTTTTATTTTTATAGTTGAATTTCGGTGAACTGAAATTCGTGTTAATTGCGTATAGGTATTGCTTGTTTAATATTCTTTGATATTTGGAATTGAATAAACTAAAGTGCACTGCTGTATATATCTGTGAATCATGGATTCGAATTAAATCTTTTGATTTGGATTTAAATATCTTGAATTTTTCTGAGAATTTTTGGTTTTTTGTTTTTTTTTTTTTTTTTTTTTTTTTTGAACTTTCTCAAGTCAGCTAATGTTGATTTTGTCTGGTAATAGTGGCTAGAAGGTATGCAACTGTTATATACGGGATGATATAGTATATCACAGCAAGTGGGGGGGTGTTATTCAACAGAATTGCTGGTTTGTTAGATTTCTTTTGTTTGTCTCGTTGTGTAGATCATACTGCCATTGTGCCATGTTAAGCTTCGTTCTTAGTCTATTGACATATTTGTGGAAGAAAAAGGGTAAACCACAAAAAAATAAAAATGCACTTGGTTTATGAATTATGATTGTTTGTCTTAGGTTTCTTCACCAATTCTCATTGTCAAGAGAGCAGGGTCTTATGCTTGGACACAAAAGCTGGAGAGTTCGAGAAGAGTTTGCACGTACAGTCACATTAGCAATTGGTCTTTTTGCATCTACTGAGCTCCCTCTTCAGCGTGGTATTCTTCCTCATGTATGGTCATTTATTATGTTTTGAGTGTAGAATACATACCTTTGGTATGTAGTTATTTCACTTATTCTACATTAAAAAGAGTGGGTCAGCTGTTAAAATAAGATTTTTAAAAAACAGTGGTCAGCCGTTAAAACTGAAAATTCTTCTATTCTGATTGAACGGAGGTGTGACTTTAGGATAACTTTCCATTTTAAGTAATTTGTGCATTAATTGAAGTAGAATATTTTATGCATTTTTTTGTACTAGAATATTTTAGCTTATTTTTCTTTTTTCAGAAAATATTACGGAGAGTATGACATGGGATTGTGTACTTTCTAGTAGTTTGAAATACCCAAGGTTAATTTGACCAAATGTGACTATTTAAAATAACATTCAATAGCTTGAACTTCTTATATTTATTTTTGTTATCTATTCACTGCACATCTTTTATTGGCTTTGTTTTTTTTTATTATTATGTTTTATGATTGGCACAGACCGAGAGGATTGAAGGCCATGGGAAGCAGCATGGAGAGCGATTCAGAATGACGGTGAAGGATGGATGGGGCTTTCCTTTAGATTTTTATTTCTCTTCTTTTTTCCTTCTTTTTTTATTTCTTTCTTTTTTCCCTCTAATTTGATTGGGGGTTGGGTGTTTTGGTTCGCTTTCTTATTTTTTGTGTTAAATGGGGGAGTGGTAAGAGAGAAAAGAGGGTAATGTTATTTTGTGACTTTGTATATAAAGTAGTAATTTTTTGATTGAAAATTGTGAATTTAATTTTTGTATATGTTATTTTGTGGGTAATGGTGATTTGTTATTAAATTGAATGGGAAAGTAAATTAATGTGCATTTGCTATTTGAATGGGAGTTATTATTTGATATTAGTGCTATTTAGTTTTATTATAGGTATTCTTTTAGTTCAATCACATAAAATTAGCATAATTTTCCCAAAAAAAAAGAAAAGATAACACAGCGTTTTTAAAAATGCCACTATTATATTAACGGTTGGAATTTTTTAAAATTAAAAAAATCTATGACGGCGTTTTAAAAGCGTCACTAAAACCATAGTGATAGCGCAATACTGTTAGGATAGGACAAACGCCGCCTATACTAATATAGCGACGTTTTTCAAACGTCATAAAGTTATAGCGACGGCAGCGTCTTCGACGTTTGGTATTAAACGTCGCAAAAACAATTAGAGGCGTTTATGTCACTTATAGCGGCGTTTTTAAAACGCCGCTAAATGTGTATTTTCCATCAGTGATTATAAAAACGTATACATGGATCTCTTAAACTATTGAGAATTATCACTTTGTCTCTTAAAATATGAAAGTGTACAAATAAACCTTTTAAACTATAAAAATGTCTAAATTGAACCCCTTAATCAAATGTGCCAAAGTGAAATATACCAATAGTTTAGGAGTCTATTTGTACGCATTTATAATTTAGGGAGCAAAGTGATATTTCTTAATAGTTTGTGGGGTCCATTTGTACTCATTTATAATTTAAGGGGTCAAAGTGATAAGTACTTCTCTATAGTTTAGCGGGTATTCGAGTATATAATCCAAAATTTTAAAAAGAGAAAGAATAAAGAAAAATGATATCCATAGATAATTTTCATATAGAATCGAACACAAATAATGTGGCAATGTTATTCTTACATTTATCAACTATGGTAATGAGAATTTTAACTTTCAATAAGTAAATACAAATAAGATGACACATTATTATATATAATTTTTATTCAAATTCTATTTGTACATCATTACTAAAAAATAAAATAAGAATGTAACAAAAAAAACTTAATTTAAAAACTTAATTTCGATCAATTGCTCAACTATAATATATGTATATGAAGAGGGAGAGAGAGGGGGGAGTGGAGAGAATAAAAACGTTTAATCTATATGAAAGTAGTGGAACTTGATATGTATTTCGAATAGTATCAAGCGAGATGAGGAAAAAAAAAAAAAAACTTACAAAAGTTTTAAACGTAAATCATTTTATTTTTATGATGTAAAATGTTTTACTTAAAAAAATATATTTTAATTACTTTTTTTTGGAAATTTTTATATACTCAAAAAATTTGTCAACATTACGCAACCAACAAATAAAATCCTCAAAATGACAATAAGTATTAAAATATGAAATTTTTAGTTCAACTTGATAATCTGAAAATTTATGACTCATGCGATTAGACCTACTCAAATTCATCCTCACTATTGTGTGGACAACGAGAATATCATCTCAAAATGTTGCGGTTAATAGGTTGGCTTTGGACAAATCCCATAGCATGGTTCGTATGACCATTATGACTAATAAATTGGCCTTCGACAAGTCTCTTGATGCTAATTCTATTAAATCCTTCACTACGATAATTGTCAATTGGGTTTGTGCTTCCTACTCCAATGAAAGACATCATGCTAGTTAAACCTTACTTTGATACCACTTGATGCAGCGGGATATATCATACAAAACTAGATATCATTTTAGCAGACGAAAAATACCTCCAATTCACAAAGAATAAAGAATTCTTAAAGAGAAACTAAATTATATTGAATAGAAGTTTTTTTTTTTTTTTTGCTATAAGGCTACATAGTTAATTATAATAAATTAATATTTGGAAACCAAAAAACCTTGGACACCAAGAAGTCTAAATGTAGGAAACAATATGGGTATAAGTTGGGTCCACCCGGGCCCGGGCTCCTGCCAAAATTCGAGTCAGGTTGGGCTAGAAAATTAGGCCTAGGCCCAAGGGGTATTTGGGCCTTAGGCGGGCCATATAATGGCTTGGGTTAGACCCGACCCTATCATGTTCTTAGATCCGGGATCCGATACTCTTTATAGTTGTCTATACTCTTTCTTATCTTGTTATTGTTGAGTTTGGAGTTACTGGTGTTTTTCTCCAACAGTTTCACTTTTTTTTTTTTTTTTTTTTTTTTTTGGGTTTGCTTGAGCGGTCTTTCTTGCACTCGAGCGGTTTTCGGCAGTCTGCAAAACTTCTAGGAGGTGGTCATTGTGTACTCGAACTGTATTTTGGTCACTCGAGCAGTTTCACTTATATGTATCTGACGCTCAAGCGGTGTTTTGGTCGCTTGAGCAGTCTGTGTATATATCAAATCAGGGAGAAGGATTTTTTTTAATCACTTTTTCATCTCTTTTCTCTCTCTAAAACATTTCTAAACCTAATTTCTTCATTCTCTATCTAGTTCTTGCTTAAAACCCTCTCATACAACCTAATCCATTGATTTCACCACTATAGTGCTTTGGAGTAAAACGTAAAGCTCGGCGAGGGCTTCCATTTAATCTGAGTAGATCATCATTTTGTCACCGATGGTTTTTAGGTTGTCTCTTCTTCACTTCAAGAGGTAGAGATTTCTTTACTCATTTTCAATACCTCGTTATAGATATACATGTAGTAGTTTTTATAGCATTTAAAAACAAGTTTGTTAAGAAATTTTACAAAAGCATGATAAGGGTTTAGGGTTTGGATTTTTGAGAGTTGGAATTGGATAAGTTGCGGGTGTTGTGGTTAATTGAGAGGTAGCTAGGCATGTTCGTGTTGAGAGTGGAGAAAAATCTAATTTATCATTATAGGTTTAATTAATCTTAAAGGAGAGAAGACATGTAATAACCAAGTTATGTGTTAAAGACTTGGAATAGTGGTTTAGTTATTAAAATGAAACTTAATTGGGTTTAGTAGTGATTTTTGATTAACTTTGTCTTGTAGTTGTGTTTTATGAATTGGTTTGGTTTAAGGAAAAATATGAAGTTTTGGCCAAGGGTGGATGTAGTTGATGGTTTTGAAACAACAGATTTGGTTTTGGAAATAAAATGGCATGTTTAAGTCTTTTATGAAATGAAATGAGAAATGGTTGATTTGAAAAGGTGGAATTAGTTATGGATTTATATTGTATGAGTCGTGTATCTATTTATCTGTTTAGAGATTTTGTCCTTAGTCATCGATGAAGGATGACATTGTTATTGTTGAGTGGATGTATTACACATGTACAGTGTTATGTAGTGTAGCATGTTGTGCCATTATTGTGTTTTGTTTAGAGGTCTATTCTTCCTCGGGTAAGACCGGTAAAGCATGGCGCCTGGACAAAGGTTTCTCGTCCCTTTCGGTTTGCCCTTTGTAAAATGTGAAAGGAGGTCTGTTTCTCTCCATATTGAGTTGGTAAAGCGTGGCGTCTTGTGATAGGTTCATCTCCCTTCTGATTTGCACCTGGTAAAGTGTGACCTTGGGGTCATTCCCCTCTGGGTGAGACTGGTAAAGCGTTATATGTTATGTGGGTTGTATCATTTGCCATTCATGTTATAAGCCTGTGGAAATGGAAGAATGTATTATGTTTAGTTAATTATATTTAGAAATATATGTTTCTCGATATTTTTGTTATGAGTGTTCCTTACCCTTGGGCCTATGGTCAGGGAAGATAGTAGATGCATTGTTACATAAGTGTGTGTAGTGGGTGAGTTGTGAGATTAGGTTATGACTTGTATATGTGAACATGCTTTCAAAATAAATGTGGAGACAAAATTCTTTTATATTAACGTGAAGGTTTAAATAGCCAAGGTTGTATTGTGAAGAAATGTTTTTGGAACTAAACTGGATAATTGGTAAGAAAACAAATGGTTTTACACATTGTAGTGTTCAAATGGATGTTTTTGGAGAAATTGTACTTATATAAGTATATTTTGAATATTAAACTGCCACATTAATTATATTGTATGTCATGGTGCATTCGTAATCATAGATATCTATATGTTATTATTGTTTAGGATCATCTTAGGATGTCTACTAGACTTTATATTCATCCTACGTTGCTAATCATTTTTCATGTGTAAGTTGAGAGATGATTCAAGATTGGTGATCTTCGTTAATTGTTGGCCACGGGGCCTATACTTGTTGGCGGAATGCCATTGTTGTAAAAGGATTAAACTCTTACTTTTAATGTAAAGATGTAAGCCTACGGGCATTTTGTTTAAATGTAATTTCCATTGCATTCCATATATATATGATTCAGAGGACTTTCATTTGTTTATGGAGGTAACATATGTATAGTTCTACTTGTTCTTAATGGAAATGGATTTATGTTAAAGGACATGGTAATGTCATTCGGGTAATAAAAAATGAGGCGTGAGAACATGGTATCAGAGCTAACCAAATTTGAATACCTTGGGCTCGTGGGAAATGGTTTTACCACAATGGGTCTATTATGCTTAGTGAGGACATTTGCATATAGTTAAGATAAGTGTTAGGACTCTATGTGTTGCATTTATGTGAGCATGGAATTAAGTTTCATGGATAGTGTTGGTAGCCGGTAAACTTGCTTTGAGGTCATATTCGAAACATGCTTGATCAGTGTGGTTTTTGATGAGAATTCCTTAAGAGTTCCGGGACGAGTAGCTATCTTTATGGACTTGATTCGATTATGTGATTAAATGTTTAACTGTTTATGTGAATAGGATTGTGTGATTTTGTGTTAAGTATGTCTTGTAGCTTAGCGGTGGTGAATGTGTGCCTTGGAGAAGGCCGTTGGGTGATTCACTAAGTTTGGTTTTGTTTTTGGTTTATAGGATGTCTATACGAGGGAGTAGAGACCGGGTCATGAGTAGAAGTGTAGGTAGAGGCACAATTGTTTCATTGGTACCTGCCCCTACAACATCAATTGTGGGTGAGGAAGTTGCACGTGAGATTTTGAAAGCGGTGAGAGATGTTCTAGGTTGCACTGAGGGGGACCATGGGCGTACCATTAAGTTGACCAAGGAGTTTTTTCACTGCAATCCACTTGT